TATGCACATATTTAGGACTATAAGGTATCCCAAAAGTCTTTGTGCAATTTTAAGCTTTAATAGCTTAAAACTCTGTTGTGTATATATGTAAAATAAAAGAAGTAGAGTCAACAGATAAATAGATAAAATTTCCAATAAAAAATAGAGACAGACACAAAGAGATAGAACTATAGTGATACATATTGGTATATTTATCTTAGACAGACTTCAAATGGACAATGAGCTTCACCAAGAATTGAATAGAATGAGGACAGCAAGCTGGATTGCTTGTGGAAAATAGCGAAGTTCATTTAATGACCATAAAATTCTCCCTGAAATTGTCCATCTTTTTGACACTAATATTCTTCTTGTGATATTATCTGGCTGAGAGTCATGAAACTACAAGCATACCTCATTTTATTGTACTTTACAGTGATTTTTTAAAATCATAGTTTTGTGGCAAGCCTGCATTGAGCAAGTTTATCAACACCATTTTTCCAACAGCATTTACTCACATCATGTCTCTGTGTCACATTTTTATGTTTTTTACAATGTTTCAAACTTCTTCATCATTGTAAATGAATTAATCTGTTACAGTGATCTATGATCAGTGATCTTTGAGTTACTACTGTAATTGATTTCCAGTGCCAGGAACCATGCCCATATAAGACAGCAAATGTATCAAGATATATGTTGTATGTGTTCTGACTGTGTCACCAACTGGCTGTTCCCCATTTCAATCCCATTCCTTGGTCCTCTCTATTCCCTGAGATACAACAATATTGGAAATTATGTCAATTAATAACCTTACAATGGTTTCTTAGTGTTCAAATAAAAGGAAGAATCAATAGATTCCGGCAAACTGCTTAATTCTAGTGCCTTCCCTTTGTTAATTATTTCTATTTTTCCTGTGTATAGGTAGCTTTGTATATGTTTGTTTGAATGTTGTCTCTCCGACTATATTGTAAGTTCCTGGAAAGCAAAAGCTATCTTTTGCCTTTCATTTTATCCTCATTCATTAGTACAGTGCCTGGCACATAGCAGGCACTTAATAAATGTTCACTGGCTTATTGATTGAGAACTTACCTTCTCCAGTGATATCCTTCAAACGTCAGGAGAATATGAAAAAGGCTTCTATCACATTTGGATAGAATTTCTGTGATATCCTTATGGAAAATATGGATAAAAGGCGCGCTCACACACACGCACACACACGCACACACACACACACACACACACACACACACACACACGAGCCAGCATGGAAGGGCTGTGATCTGTAGCATTGCAAGAAATATCTACGTTGATGAGGTCACAAATCCATTGAGGTATTGGAGCACAAACACCTTACCGAAATTCTCATTTGACACAACCCTGTGAAGCAGGTACTGTTTGGTATTAGCAAGTTTTTCTTTCACACAAAGAAACTAAAGTTAAGAGATATGCCCATGATCTCAAAGCTAGTGAGTGTCAGAGGCTACATTAAAGTGACTAAAATGTCCATGCCCTTTGACCTAAACATTCTACTACTGGCATATACCCCAGAGAAGTCAGTGATAGAAAGGAAAGCCCCATATTTGCCAAAATATTTATAGCAGTGCTTTCTACATAGCAAAGGATTAGGAACAAATAGCTAAACAAATTCTGGTACATGAATATAATGGATAGGAAATTATGAATATGATGAAGAGCACTGACTTATATGAACTGATACAAAGTGAAATGAGTGGAAACAGAAAAGCCATATACATGACTACAACAATGGACATGGAAAGAACAACAAAAATAAAATAGAAATTATTCTAGGCCATTATAAGGACCGAGGTTGGTCCCAAGGAAGAAATATGAAAAAAATACCTCCCTCTATTTTTTGCAGAGGTGGAAGACTATGGTTGTGGAACACCAAATATAACATCAAACTTTTTTCATCTGTTGGATAGTGTTGCTGAAGTTGGTTGGGTTTTTTTTCCTTTGTCTTTTTAAAAAATTCTTTATGATGTTGGATGACTCTCTGGGAGAGGGTGAGGGAAAGGACACAGTAAGAAATATAGGCAATGTAAAAACAAAAGTTATCACTAAATACTTATTTCTCAGGGGGAAAAAAGGAATTTGTTTTTTTAGACTCCCAATCCCAAATACTCTATGAATTCTCTCTCTCAGGAAAGGGAAGGCCAGAAGCTGAACTTGAAAGGTACCAGAAGAATGGAGAAATAGAAAAAGAAAGAAGAGAGGGTAATGAAATATGGAGACTATGAAGAACCAAGTTTGGTGAGAAGAGCAGGGCAGGAGAAATGTATTGAATGGATGCTCTATAGAGACAATGTTGTATCATGGAAAGAGAAGGGGACCTAGGGTCAGAAGACCCTGGCTGAAAGCCCAGACCTAAACAGAAGCAAATTATTTCATCCATGTAAGCCTGATGCCTCTTTTGTTAGAGATAATGTTTACATGACTTATCAAATCCAAGTTGGAAAGGATGTTAAAGGCCACCCAGTAAAATGTATATCTGATAAAAAAAAAAAACCACCTCAGCAACATATCCAACAAGGAGTAATGCAGCCTTTGCTTAAAGACCCTAGTACCTTCAAAGGCAGCCCATTCTACTTTCAGATAGCTCTGCTAGGACATTTTTTCTTATGTCACATCTACATCTGGCTCATTTCCACTTACTCTGGCTTCTGTGGCAAAGAAGAATCAGTCCAACCTCTTGTCTTTTTTTGTAGTTGAAAGCAGTTATCATTAAATCCAGCCTTTCTCACCTCCTCCCCTCCCCCCAGTCTTCTCCAAGCTAAACATTCAATGAATTTTCAAATGAAATGCTCTTGAGACCCTTCATCATCCTTAGAGACAGCTAGGTAGCACACTGGATTGAGTGCTGGGCTTGGAGTCAGACAGATCAAAGTTCAAATCAAGTCTCAGATACTTACTAGCTGAGTGACCCTGGGCAAGTCACTTAACCTCCTTCTGTCTCAGTTTCCTCAATTGTAAAATGGGGATAATTATAGTACCTACCTCCCAGGATTGTGTGAGGATCAAATGAGAAAATTTTTTTTAAATGTTTGGCACAAAATAAAGATTTAATAAATGCTATTTTCTTCCTTAGAGGAGATAAGAATAAAATAAGAGACACTGTGGCATAAGGGAAAGAGCACTGCACACCACTCTCCTCACCCATTCCCATAGACATCTCTGAGTCTCAATTTCTTCATCCATAAAATGGGGATAAACACCTGTATTATTTTCACCCAGGACTGTTGTGAGGATCCAATAAGATAATAAACTTTTAAGCATAAATGTCAGTTATCATTATCCTTATCTTGAAAGTTCTCCAGGTTACTTATGAACTTCCTAAAATGAAAACTGAACACAATATTCCAGATGTTACCTGATCAGAGAAGAGTGGAATTGTTATCTTAATGGTAGTTTCACGGACTATCATTCCACACTGTTGACTCATATTGAGCTTGAAGTTCATTGAGTTTCATTCTAGAGCTTTTTCAGACTGACGATTAGCCATGCCTCCCACACACCAAATCGTGTGAAGCAGCTTTTTCGACAATAGTATTTTTCATTTGTCTGTTTTAAGTCTCTTCCTACTAAATTCTGCTCGACTTTCCAGCCAGTTGAGATTCTCTTGGATCCCATCTTTCCACGAGTTAGCTTTTTAACACCACCAAATTTGATAAACATTTATTATCTACTTTAATCAAGTCATTAATTATAATACTAAATCTCACAGGATTTCTGGGAGCAAAACTTTTTGTAAACTTTAAAGCCCCCATTTGAATGTAAAGTATCATGTAGATTCTCCATTAGGTACAAAAGGAAGGTCAAAGGAAGAGAGAATTAAATTCCCTGAGGCTAGTGAAGTCCCAACAATACTCCACGGTGATTGCTATTGAGTAGCTGTCCTCAGTAAAGAGTATTTACTGAATAGCCATTGTGTACTAGGATGGTTCTAGGCTGGGCGGGTGGGGTAGGGGGGAAGTATTGCAAAAGTAATTGAAGAGGAGCAGTTTGCAATGCACAGTAGCTGAAGATCCCGGAACAACAAAGATACATCAGAAAGATTTAAGAACATCTTAGCAGCGAAATCCACGTAGCCCTGGAGCTTGGTATCCTCGCAAAATAAATACGTAAGAATTTCCTGCGGCTTAGTGGTGCCGGTGTCAAGACGGTGCCCGGTTTCTGACTGCATTGACAGGGTTTGCTGATTGGGCTGCCCGTTTTGCATCTTAGCAACAGTGATCTGACAGATCTTGTAAATGTCTGAAACTGACTGGCATCATTAGAAATTACTCGAGCTACTTTTTTACATCGACTGAGCAAAGAAGGGTGCCCTTAGAAATTAGGGAAACTGAAGAGAAAAGAACAAGCCTCTAATAAAAGGAAACAAAGAGCTAAAACACCTTGCTCCTGGGAAGGAGGTTGGTACAAGATCATGGTATCAGCTGGAGAGAAAGCGGTCGCTCTTGGGGTAGGATGCCAACAAAAACCCCAGAAACGCCGACCTTCCCCTCCCAGATCAGAGCTGGAGCCTGCAGCACTGAGCTTGAGCGCAGGTAGCGGCCCGCCCAACCGGGTGGGCGGGGTTTTCATCAGACTCTATCCCCGCGGGTCGCCCGGAGGGCCAAGGAGCTCCACCTTCCCCCGGCGAGTCTGCCTAAAACGCAGCCGGCCTCGCCCCTCTGTCTTCTCGGCCTCTGGGGCGCGACCGGTTTGGCATCTGCTCTTTTTACGCGCTCGGCTCAGCCTCCACCACCAGGTCTCATCCTTCTTCTCCTCCACCCCCTCACGTTCCGAAGGCGCCCCGGAGTTGGTGCCCCCCACCTCCCTGTCGCTGGTCTCCGAGAGCTCGTCTCCTAGTCTTCCCTGGCCCGCTCTCCCGCTGCTTCCCTGGAGCTCGCTCCCCGCCCTCGCTCCTTCCCTCTCACTCCCCCGCGTTACCTGCCACCCATCTCCCAGAGTTCGCCCGCCCCTAGCGTCGCGCTGCAAGCCCGGAGTTCGCCCGCTGCCCTTTCGGGGACAGAGGGCATCGCCACCATCATGCTCCCCGCCATCTACACGGCAGTGGCGGGGTTGCTGCTCCTCCCGCTGCTGGTGAATTTCTGCTGCTCCTACTTCTTTCAAGACACGAGCTACTTCCTGACGGCGGCCGGAGTGGCCCTAAGGGTACGCAGATACTCAAGACGCCGGCCGGTGCGCACCATCTTGAGCGTCTTCTTGGAACGGGCGCGCCAGACACCCAACAAGCCTTTCCTGCTGTTCCAAGATGAGACGCTCTCCTACGCGCAGGTGGACCGACGGAGCAACCAGGTGGCGCGTCTGCTCCACGACCGCCTCGGACTTCGACAGGGAGACTGCGTCGCCCTCTTTCTGGGCAACGAACCGGCCTATGTTTGGCTGTGGCTGGGTATGGCCAAGTTGGGCTGCGCCATGGCCTGTCTCAACTACAGTATTCGAGCCAAGTCCCTTGTACATTGCTTCCAGTGCAGTGGGGCCAAAGTGCTGCTGTCCTCTCCGGGTGAGTCCAGCCCCCAGCCCTGCATCCACTACACTCACCTCTTCCTCCCGCAGACGTACCTCCCTTCCCGAAACAGATCAGACAAGTGCCTATGAAAGCATCTCCTTTGAGGGGCGGGAGGCGAAAGGGTGGCAGAATTTGCCTCTAAGAATCCCCAGTTTCTTTCCGAAGGCTCAGCTTAAGTGCCATCTACGAAACAATGCCTAGCCTGATTCCTCTAGTTGCCAGTGCCTTCCTTCTCCTTAAATTACTTATTTGTATTTTGTATTTTCTTAACTGTGTTTATGTCATTATCCTCTGCCTTAAGGACTGAGACTGTTTTTGCCCTTCTTTTTATTTCCAGGGCCTGCCACAATGCCTGGCACAAGTCTGAGTGCCTAATATTTGTTGAATGAATGAATACAGACGTTAGGAGCTGAGATCCAAACATCATAATGAGTATTACAGGACAGTGTCTGTGGGCAAATAAGAGTATTAGTACAGGGCCAGACTCTTACCTCTGTATATCCACCTGAGGTGGACAGATAGAGATAATAGTCCACGTGCATTTGCAATGTGCTAGTCTTTAGAGATATAAAAGCAAAAAAGTTTCAGCTCCCAAGGAGCAGAAAATGAATGGGGAGACAACATGCAAATAACTAGGTATACAGTAGATGGGAGGTAATCAAGAGGACAAGGCGCTTACAAGCTTGGAGAACAAGGGGGAAAGGCCTTTGTGCAGAAAGTGGGATTTAAGGTGAGTCTTGAAGGAAAACGGGGATATTCAAAGGCAAAGGTGAGGAGGAACAGCTATCCAGGTATGGGAAGACAAGCAGTAAAAAGACACAAAGAGAGGAAATAGTGTTATGTGCAAGAGGTAGCAAGTACGGTGTCCCTGGATCATAAAATACATAGAGTGAATAAAGTGTAACAAGACTGGAAAGATGGGAAGATCCAGGTTGTAAAGAGCTTTAAAAACCAAACCAAAGGGTTGGTGTATTATCCTAGCGGTTGAAAGCCAGAGTACTCCACTGCTACGCTCCAGATATCAGGAGAAATCCAGGAAGCCCTCCCAGCACATTAGGTGGACCTTCTGTAGTGAATTTTGGTAGAATATGAACAGGAAACCTAGGATGGGCAGGCATAGAGGGGTTGTAATTGATATTATTCAAGGGGAACTTCTAAACCAACAAGATCACAGATTCATTTGAACCTTTGGACAATTCCATAATCATGTATTAAGTGCTTGCTTCCTGCTGGCACTGTGCTGGATGTTGGGAGTGCAGACAAAGACAAAACAATTGCTGCCCTTAGGTAGCTGGGAGCTGTCTGGCAGAGGACAGGGGAGGAACATGTGGCTTGTGCACAGATAGTAAGCTAGGAGTGATTGAGATTCTCTACCAGGGAAGTATTCTAAGAGGGAGAGAACACTTTGATTTTGGTTAGGGGAGCCTACATGAAGGAGGCAGCACCTGAATTGAATCTGGAAGGAAGATAAATACTCTGAAAGGCAGAAAGGAGGTAGTGTATTCTACACACAGAGCACAGCCAACATATACAAAAGTCTGGAGGCAGGAGATAGCGTATCAAGTTAGATGAACAGTGAATAGTCTGGTTTGTCAGAAATCTACAGCACATGAAAGGGAACAATATGAAATAAAGTAGGTTACAGCCACGTTGTGGTGGGCCTTAGTGACAGTCTAGTTTAATTTAATTCAACCAGGATCTATCAAACACTTACTGTGTGTCAGACACTGATAAAGAAAACAATAAAACAATCCCTGCCCTCAAGGAGTTTATATTCTTTGGAAGGAAACAACAGATAAGGAAATAGAATATATACATAGTATAAATATAAACTAATTGGCATTGGAAGGCACAAACAACTGGGGAAATTTTAGGGTTCAGATTTTACCCCTGTTGCCTAATGAAGAGCCACAAACTCTTTTCGAACCCTTAAGGGAGTGACATGGTCAAGTTTGTACCTTAGGAATATTATTTGGACAGCTGTATAAAGAATGGTGTCGAGAGGCTGATTAAGAGTAGATAATAGTCTACTCAAGTAGAGCTGTATACGTGAATTTATAAACAACAATAAACAACCAAGCCTGTGTAGTGTAGTGTGATAGTTGAAATCAGGAAGACCTAGGTTCAAATTTTACCTCAAATATTTGCTAGCTGTGTGACTATGGTCATGTCACTAAATTCTGGTTTCATTTTTCTCACCTGTAAAATGAGGAGGTTGGACATAATAACCTCTAAAGAACCTTCCAACTCTAAAGTCTAGGATTTTAAAAACAAACATTTATTAAATGCCTACTATGTACCTGCCACTGTGCTAAGACAAAGACAGAAGGGAAACAGTCCTGCCCTCAAGGACCTTACATTCTAATGGGGAGACATGTACACATGTAACTTTATAAAAGTATATACAGAATATATAAGGCAGCTAAATGGTGCAGTGGATAGAGTGCTAGGCTTGGCATCAGGAAGACTCCTCTTTATGAGTTCAAATCTGGCCTCAGACACTTGCCTACCAGCTGTGTAACCCTGGGCAGTCACTTGACCCTGTTACCTTGGTTTCCTCATCTGTAAAATGAGCTGGAGAAGGAAATGGCAAATCACTCCAGTGTCTCTGCCAAGAAAACCCCAAATAGGGTCACAAAAGAGTCAGACAACTGAAAACGACTCAACAACAAAAATATAGGAAATATACAAAATGAATTCATGGCAACTAGCATGAGGCTGATAGGGTGGGAATCAGGAAGAGCTTCATGTACAAGGTAACTCTCAAGTCAAGTCTTGAAGGAAATCAGGGATTCCAAGAAATGGAGTTGAGAAGAGAATACATTTCAGGCATAGGGGACAGTGGTGATAGGAGATGGAGAATGGTTTGTAGATCAGTAAGCAGGCCATTATGGATGAGCTGTATGTATCATGTGGGAAAAGTAGCAGTCTGTGAGAAGACTGGAAAGGTAGGAAGGAACCAGATTTTGAATGTCAAACAGAGGAGTTTGTAGTTGGTTAATAATAATAATGATGATAGCTCATATTTATAGAGTGTTTCAAAGTCTGGTCTTACTTTGGTGGTCAAAGTGTATGTAAATGGAAGAGAAGAGGCAACATAGGAGAGATGTGGAGGTAGACTTAGTAACTAATTAATCGTATGTAGGGGAAAGGAGAGAGGAAAGAGTCAAAGGTGGGTCACTGAGAGAATTCTTGTGCCCCTAACAGAAATAGGAGGGATTAGAGGAGGAGGATGTTTAGGGGGAAAGCAGTCAAGTGAAATTCTGTTTTGGATGAGTTGAGTTTAAGGTGGCAGCTGGACTTTCAGGTAGAGAAATAGAGGAAGCAGTTGGACATGGAGGACCATTGACTTCATAGGTTTTATTGAATGTTACCATCAGAACTGAGTACAGAAATTGTGTACCAATAGGGCTCCAGAAATGTTTATGAGGCACATCAAAGTGAACTTGGGGTAGAAAGGCAATTTCCACATGGGGCTTGGGCATCCTCCAGTAGAGCTGGGCCCAAGGTTTATGCTTCACTCACTTTGAAGCCTAGGGTGTTGTTAGACTCTGGGTAGCCAAGTGCCTTAGGCTAAGATAGCAATCTCCTTTAGTACTCACTGCCTAGTCTAGCTGGCTTCTTTTGTTCTACTTTCCTAATTTTAACTGTGTCTTTGAGAGGAGTTCTGGCAAGCATAAATTTTGTTGTACTGACATCTCCCTTTTTCTTAAGTGACTCCCCACTTTCACTTGATTGCACTAATACTCTGGTCATGCATTTTTAGTCATTCATTTAGTTATACTTTCACACTTGGTTATGCATTCATGCTGATTTTTAAAATTTATTTTATTAATTTATTTTGATTTATCAACAATCACTTCCATATGCTTTTGAGTTTAAAATTTTTCTCCCCTTTTTTCCCCTTTCCTCCCCACCACCCTCCCCAAGACAGCACACAATCTGATATAGGCTATACATTCACATTCCTATTAAACATGTTTTCACATTAGTGAAGTTGTAAGTAAAAATTAAAACCAACAGGAGGAACCATCAGAAAGAGGAAACAAAACTCAACAAAAGAGGAAAAAAAAGATAGCGATGCAATTTCCATAGTTATTTCCTTGGATGTGGATAGTATTTTCCATCACTAGGCCTCTGGAGATGTAAACAACATATTATAGGATTATGGTTTTTAATCCATTCTGGTATCCACTTTCGTTTTATGGGAGAGTTCATCCCATTCACATTCACAGTTATGATTACTGTCTGTGTCTTTTTCTCCATCCTTTTTTCCCTGTTTATGCTTTTCTTTCTCCTTTCTCCTTCCCCCCCCAGTAGTGTTTTGCTTTTGACCACTGCTTCCTTCAGTCTCTCCTCCCTTCTATTGTCCCTTTCCCTTTTCTTCCCCTTTACCCTTACTGCCTCTTCCCTCCCTCCTATCCCTCCTCCCTTTTCTTTCCCCTTTTCCCTCCTACTGCCTATAGGGCAAGTTAGATTTCTATACCTAACTGATTATGTTATTCCCTTCTTGAGCCAAATCTGATAAGAGTAAGGTTCAAACAATGCTCACCCCCCTCCCTTCTTTCCCTCTGCTATAATAGGATTTTCTGTCTTTTCCTGTAATGTAATTTACCCTTGTCTGTCTCCTTCTTTCTCAGTACATTTTCTAAGATCAGACTAATCCACTTCCTTGGATCCATTTAACCCACTTGATTAGATTTTTTTTATCATTACATCAAAGTCAACTAATATCCACCCCTTTATGTATACTCCTTTAACATGGTGTAATAACAATACAGTTCTCAAGAGTTGCAAGTGTCATCTTCCCTTGTAGGGATGTAGACAGTCCGCCCTTATTAACAACATATTGTATCTTTCTGTCCCATTTACCTTTTTATGTCTTTCTTGAATCTTGTACTTGAAGATCAAATTTTTTGTTGAGCTCTGGTCTTTTTATCAGGAAGGTTTGGAAGTCCCTATTTCATTGAATATCCATCTCCTCCCTTGAAAAA